CCAGAAGTCTGTGCTGGTTCCTGGGGTGCAGGGAGAATGTCTGTCTCGCAGCTGAAGGAAAACGGACCTCCAGAAGTGACCTGGAAAGGCGGCTGTCGGAAACGTGCGTTGTGTTGTGAGCAATCTCCTCATCCCCGTCATTGTCTCCCGTGCGGGGCTCCCATCTGCGCATTTCTGGTGGCTTTTAAGCGTGGCGCAGAAGTCTGCGGATGTGGCGTCCTGCCTCTGGGCCCTTTGAGGATGGCGCAGCAGCCTGTGGCCTCCGTCAGCAAGACCCCACCGCCTGGCAACGCTCAGCCAGGCTGAGTGGCGCCCACCAGGGACTGCCTTGGAGAAGTGACTCCTGCTGGGCCCCAGTGGCCGTGAGCCGGGGCCAGGCGGGGCCGGCTGGGCCTGAACGCCGGCCGGGGGCCTCTCCCAGGGGCCAGGCGCTGAGGCCAGTGCGTGGAAGCTCTGCCAGCTTAGGCAAGCGGGGTTGTGCCTTATTTCTGGAGAGTCTGCAGTAACCCGGGCCGGAAGGGGGTGGCTGCCAAGGCTTGTGGGTAGACCGGCCGGCCGGAGGCACACTTCCCGGCCGGGCACGAGTGCTCCTCCAGAGTCAGTGCTGGTCCCTTGGTGCGTGCTGGTGCACACATGCACAGCACATGCAGCTCGCCAGAGCCGAGCAAGATCCACTCTGAGCGGAAGAAAGACGGGGCGGCTTTGGAGATGCCATGCGGGCGGCTGCGCCAGACCCACCGTCTTCAATCCGGCGCATCACGTCAGGTGAACGTTTCTCTTGCCATGCTGAGATGCCAGCTTTTTACTGTCAAGAGGGCAGGGTGGAAGCCCCGTAGACTGTGTGTGAGCTTCTAGAAAGCAGCTAGAGAATTCGGAGGACTGTGTGCGGTTTAGATCCCCTGTGGATCTGTGTCCGGGTGAAGGTGCACTTTAGACATGGTAAAAATCCATGAAGTCAGGCCTCCGTCCAGCAGCTCAAAAGGCAGAAGGTTTTCCTAGCTTCCAGCATCCTTTAATCTCACCCAGAACTTTATTTTTAGGTGGATGGTACATCTGGGTAGCTAGGCAACTGGAATGATGCCGGTTTCTTTTTTTCCTTTGAGTGGGAAGCAAGCGGAAGGGATTCTGTTCTGCACGTGTCGAGAGAACTTGCAGCCCCAGTCCTGCCGCCGTCCTGCGGCCTTGAGCTCTGGGAATGCACAGGAGAAGCAGGTGTGGGGCAGCACAGCCCAGAATCCCCAGGCCGGGTTGAGCGGCTGCTGCAACCCCAGGGGGGGGCAGTGCACGCCTTGGGAACAGCCTGGGAGCCAGGCTGGGGAGCGACGCCCTGGCGGAATAGCGGGCCCAGAGCCTCCCGGAGCGGTGCGGCTTCCTTGTGGGCTTGCCTCCACTTGTGGCCCGGCTCTGGCCATCTGGCCCGCACGCGTCCCAGGGCTGTGCTGGGCTTCGGATCCCGTAAGCAGGACTCTCCTTCCGTAAATACCCGCCCCAAGGGCTGTGGGAGGAGGCTGCGAAAGAGGGCTGGTGCGCACGGCCTCGCCCAGAGGTGCTGCCATGGCACCGGCACCTGCCCAGGGTCTTTTCCGGTTGCAGGCGAGCCCTTCCTGTTTTCTTCTTTTTTAAAACAAATTTTATTATTTTCTCTATAAATCCAAAACTAAAAACAGTTATTCAGGACATCAGATATACTGGGTCGACATCACGCTCTCTTTTTTTTCACATTTAAGAACTATATTCACTTCTACGCATAGTCCCGTTTCTCTAACCCATGATAGAAAATACTCCAAGTTTGATAGAATTTCGTATCTTCCTTCTCCTTCAAAGACAAAGTCAATCTCCACGCAGTCCAAGATCTTTCTTAAAATCAGCTCTTCAGTAGGTGGCTCTTCACTTCTCCAGTGCTGAGCAAATGCAATCCTCGCTGCAGTAGTTGTAGGTAAAGTCAAGTATATAGCTTGTTTATCAAGATTATCAGGAACAATACCTTACAGAAAGACTTCAGGTTTAAATGTTAACAGTTTATGCAGCATTTCCTCAAGCCGCTTGTGTATTTTAACCCAATATTTTTTTGCCTTAGCACATGTCCACCACAAATGATAGAAAGTATCAGGTTTGTGTTTACATTTCCAACATCTATTTGACATATTTGGGAACATTTTTGCTAATCTATTTGGTGATATACCATCTGTAAAACATTTTATAAAGGTTTTCATTATATGAAGATGCTAGAATTATCTTACTATTTCTTTCCCACAGCTTTTGCCATTTCTGTAACTCAATATTATATCCAAAGTTTTGTGCCCATGTTATCATAGTCTCTTTAACTTGTTCATCAACCATTTTCATATCTAAAAGAAAGTTATACAACCTTTTAACCATTTTTTCATCTGATTTTGAAATCATTTGATCAGATGCTATTAATTCCTTATAAAAACCATACATTCTGTAATCTTTAGTATATCTCGATTGTATTTGAATCTTATGCCACCAAGAGAGATCAGTACCATGTTCCTGTAATTCTTGATTCAGCTTCAGTTTTCCATAATTATCTAAAATATTGTCATGTCTCACAATCTTATTAAAATTCAAAGCATTCTGGTACGCAAGAGCTTCCACAGGGAAGAGCCATCTCGGCAACTTAGTACAGAGTTTTGTCTTTAGTTTCTCCCAAACTGGCATCAATGAATTTCTAACATAATGACATAAAAGTAACCATATAGCTTACATTTTTCATGCCACATATAGGCATGCCATCCCATTTGTAAATCATGTCCTTCCAGATATAAAATGCTCTTTTTTCTTAGAGTTATCCATTCTTTTAGCCACGTTAAAGCACAAGCTTGATGGTATAGCATCCAGCCGGGCAGACCAAGGCCCCCATTCCCTTTGGCTTCCTGAAGCATTTCTAATTTAATCCTTGATTCCTTCTTCTGCCATAGCAGGCGAGCCTTTTCTGCTCCCCCAGGCATTTCGCGCTCTTCACTGGCGGCGGGCTGCGTGTGTGGATTGTTGCCCGGCTGCTGGGTTTTGCTTTGGGTTCATACCGCAATTTGGGATTTCTGGAAGTATTCCGTCCTGTTTTACCAGCTCAGAGGCACTGAGGTCGGGGCCTCGGCGCTGCGTCCCCTTCACCGCCCCCACCCGGGGCTGTTGTAGGGGCAGCTTGCCCACAGGTTGTGGCAGTCTCTGGGCTGAGGCGACCGGCTGCACCGTAGCACGCGTCTGGGGGACTGGCTGTTGTGCGTGGGGAGTGGAAGCCCCTCTAGGACCCGTTCCCATGGGTGCCCCCTGCCAAGGGCAGCTCATTCTAGGCCTGGACTGTGCCCCGAAGGGACTCCAAATTGCATGCCCTCCACTGGTTCCCCAGTGCACATGCAGAAGAGGGTGTTTGGAGAGGCCCCCCCTTTGCTGCAAGAGGCTCACCTCCCCCACCCTGCACCCCACAGCCAGCTGACTTGCTAGGGCACCGTCTGCAGCTCCTGCTCGGCCCCTGGGTGCTCGGGAAGGCACAAAAGCACACCCCCCCTTAGGGAAAAGGAGCTTTGGCAGCCTTCGGGACGAAGGAGAAGCTCTGACTGTCTAATGGGATTCTTTTTGCCTGGGACGAGCATGGCCAAATTAAACCCCCAAAGGGAAGCTCTGGCCGCTGCGGGGAGCCCCTCTGGGGTGCGGCTGGGGTGCCTTGAGAGGCTGTCCAAAAGGAGATCCCAGTCTCTCTCGGTGGGGGGGGGGGATTGGGGCCGGCAAGCCAAAAGGGGCTCACTGGCATGGTGGGGGTGGGGGCAGCCTGGACCTTCCCTGATGCCCCCGCGGAGGGGCTCCCAGGCAGAGGGAGGGGCTGGCCACCTCCATGCGCACTGAGGGCCGTTTGCACCCCCCGTGCTGCGTGCTTCCGGGGGGGGGGAAGCATGATGTGGGGGACAGAAGGAGAACCAGGGGGGTGGCATGTGCTGGCCATGCGCCTTCCCACTGCGGGGGCGGCCCCGGTTCCTGGCCTCAGCCCAAGTCCAGCTGCCCGCCGCTGCAAGTGTGCATTTCTCACCGTGGGGAGCAGGAGGGGCCGGAGCGCTGGCCCTGCGGTTGGTTGGTTGGTTCCTTCCAAGCAGCGCTGCAATGGCTCTGCTGTGACTCGGCCTGCACCCGCCCCTCTCCCTCTGATCCCGGATTTGCATGAAATCCCCCAAGGGCCACAGAGAGGCATCTTCTGGCATTAATTGCCAAACTCCTGAGCCGAGCGGGGGGGGGGGGGGGGGGGGGTTGGACGAGGAGCCGCACTGTCTGGAAGGGACTTCTCCCAGGACCGCAGGCGTGGCGCGCCCAGGGAGGAAGCTCCGACGGGCGAGCGCTTGGTTTCCGACGCTGACCCCAGGCGCAGCTTTCCCCAGGCTGGCACCCTGCAGATGTTGTGGACTACAGATCCTACCATCCTGAGCTAGATCTGCACTCGGTGCAAAGAAGATGCGTAGGTTCTCGCGGAGGGATGTGAGGCGCAGCTTTGGGGCTGATGTGAGGAGCGGCTTGTGACCCCCCAGCCCAGGCCCCTCAGGGGACCCAGGCGGCGCATGCGCAGCCATGCTGGCGGCCCCTGCTGTGGCTGCAGCCTGCAGTTAGCCGCGTGTGCGCGGGCAGGAACTGGAGGAGGCCTCCCTGGCTGGGGGGCTTCTTGGCGTGTTTTGGCACAGGCGCTGGCTGAGCTGAGCTGGGCGGGGAGCACACGCTGCCCACGGCCAGGAGACGGGCAGGGCAGAATCCCCCCCCCCCCGGCCTTGCGCTTTCCCCCAGAGGCGTGCATGGCGTCCAGGCATCACTTCCTCAGTCACGCTGGGGAGGCAGGCAGTGGGAAGCGTCCCTTAAGGGGGGGTGCTCTCCACGCGGCCTGTGTGGGTGGCGCAGAACCCCCTGCTCCGGGCGCCCGCTGCGTGACATGCACTCCCGGGCGGCGCTGGGGGGCTGCACTGACCCCTGCTCCCTTTCCCGCACAGCAGGACCCCGGTTGGAAAATGAGCGGCGAGGCCGTTCCAGGGGAGGCCTCCTCCCCAGCCACACAGAGCCCGCACTACTTCGACCGCTTCTCCGAGGACGACCCCGAGTACCTGCGCGTCAGGAACATGGCCGCCGACCTGCGCCAGGACTTCAACCTGATGGAGCAGAAGAAGAGGGTCACCATGATCCTGCACAGCCCGGTGAGCCGCCCCGCCGGCATGGCGTGGGGCCTGGGCGGGGGCAGCGCCATCTCCTCAGTGGCAGGCAGGCAGGGAGGGCTGTCGCGGGTGGCAGAGTCCCCTGCATGTGCGGAAAGTCCTGGGCTCAGCACTTCGCATCAGAGGGCAGCACGGAGCCTCTCGCTCCTGGCACGGGGTTCCCGCAGCAGGCCGGCCGGCAGCCTCTGGCTTCATGCTTGTGGATTCATTGACTGATGGGTTGATCCATTACATTTGTATGCCTCCCATGGCCCATTGGGCTCCCTGGACTGCCCACAGCAAGACAAGGTGCAAGATACAGTAATGGAATTAAAACTATGCAATAGCAAAAATATAAAATCGATGCAAACGCAATACTTTGCGCATAGCAAATGCAAATTCCGATACAAGATCAACAGTGGAGCGACACAAAATCAAGCCACGTTACTTGATACAATAATGTTCATAACGTGTGGACGTGCGTTCCAGAACAGGGCAGGCTGAAGGTGGAGATCTTCCGGGCCGCCTCCAACACTCAGCCACGGAGCATCTGCTGATTCACAGTTGTTAAAAATAACAGCCACGAACTGGCTCGTCGCTAAATAATTTAGGGAGCGTTTCCTGACATTAGGCTGCCAAAACCAAGATCATTTGCGGGGAAACCAGGAATGCTCCATTCCCCGACCCAGAGGGAGATTTTTGCGTGGGTGGGGCGGGGCTGATGGGTCCCCTCCAAGCCAGGAAGGGGGTCCGCCTGCCCCTCGGAGACCAGCAGGCGCCCTGGCATCGCTGCACTAATTGGCTTTTGCGGGAGGACAGAGGTTCCCAGATGCAGCCACAAACTCCTCAACAAGTTCCCACTGAGCTGTTCCACGCCGGCATCTCGCTCAGGACTCCCTTTGCCCAAGGAAGAGCCCCTTCCAGGCCTCCCGGGAGGCTGAGGAGCCCTGCTCATGGCTTCTAGTGACTGAAATGAATGAACCGGCCAGGCACCGGCCAGGCGTTCCCAAACGTGTTGCTTGCAAAGGTGCCTCCCGTGCCGCATGCTTCTAGTGTGCAGAGCGAAGCCCGCATTCATGTGTGCATGCAGCACAGGCAGGGCAGATCCCGCGAGCGTGAATGTTCTCAGGTGGACCGGCCTCCTCTGGGAGGAGCCCGAGTGGGCCAGCGGCCGCGAAGCGGAGCTGGCCCGCAGCGCGTGCTCTTGCATCGCCATGGAGGCACACGCGGCCCCCACGTGGATCTCCGGCCTGCCCCATCCCCCTCCTGCTCTTGAGCAGCCGCAGCAGCCAGGCACAGAGCGGGGGGCCATCCGCCCGCAGCCAGTGGGGACAGGATGGGATGCCTCCGGGTGAGGGTGCGTTTCTCCTGTTTCAGTCTTTCAGGGAGGAGCTGGAGACCCTGATCCAGGAGCAGACAAAGAAGGGGAACAACTCCAACATCTGGGCCCTCCGGCAGATCGCGGACTTCGTGGCCAGTACCACCTGCTCGGCCCTCCCCACCTCGCCCCTGAGTATGTTGGCGCCTGCTGAAGGGGCCCTCCCCGGCGTGGCCAGGCCAGGGCGCCCACGCGCTCCCCGCTTGCCTGCCCCCTTCCTGGCCTCCACCCGAGGGCACCACCGCCCCCCAACTTCCCTGTGTGGGGCGGGCCCCCTTTACATGTTGCGCCGGTGGCGCCCTCTCTCTCTGCAGCCACGCCAGCCACCACGCTCCTGCTCGCACCACATGGTTCCCGGCCACCCCGCTCGCTCCCTAGTCCCTCGGTGTGCGGGGAGCCTGGCGGCGGCGGCGGGTCTTCCTCTCGCCCACGGCATTTGCACAAGCCAGGCCCAGGCGCTTGCCGCCTCCGCGCTGGCTCCAAGCGATGCAGTCACGCTGAAGGATGCGCCGAAGCGCCGGCGGGGCCAGGGGCCGGGCCGGGGCCAGGCCAAGCAGCCCTGTGTCCTGTGCTCGGACGGCTGCATCCGCCCCATGCAGCCACCCGAAGCCCTGGCCAGGAACGCTCCCGCCGCCTCCGCTGGGCTCTGGCCTGGTGCTGCGCCCGCTCAGCCGGCCCTGGGAGGGAGCGGGTGGGGGAGTCGCATCCCAGGGCTCCCTCCCCAGCTCACCGGCTCAGGTACTGCTGGGACCCAGCGTGGCTGCCCCACGCCAGGCGCGAGAGCCGGTGGCTGCCCCAGGCCACGGAATGCCTCGGGGGCGCAGGGCCCGGGCTCCCCAGCCCCGCCCCCTCCACATCCCACCAGGGCCGGGAAGCTGCCGGCCTGCGCTGCATGCCTCCTGCGGACAGGTGGCCGTGGGGTGTGTGCGGACCCGGTCCCCTCGGCTGGGGGAGGGCACAGGCCCGGTGATGGGGTGGCGGCAAGCGGGGAGGGCTGCCGCGCTGCCGCCGCCTTCCGCGAGGGCAGGGGGGCCAGGGCCAGCCAGGGGTGCCCCCACACACCGCCGCTCCCAGGCAAAGGAGAGGGTGACGCTTGGATGCTGGGAGCCTGAGTGAGGAGGGGGGCGCACAGAAGCCTTTGCTGGCTGGGAGTGCAAACGGAGGAACTCTGTCCATGTGCAAAGCGCACGAAGCCTGCCTCTTGTCCTTGTCAGAGGATGAAGCAGCTGGGGCAGGAGAGCTTGCTTGCTCGTTTCATTTTGCACGGCCGGATTGCGGGGGCTCTCTGGGTGGCTAAGGAAAGCTAGAAACACACAAACAACCAACTGTGAAGAGAGAACAAGGACACCCCAGCACTGCGGCTGGATAGGCACAGTGGCGTGGCCGCAGCTCAGGATAACGTGCACCATTAGCACTAAAGTTAAAAAGTTAATCTATTAAAATGCTGGGAAAACAAGCAGGTTTTCACCTGGGGCTGAAAGGAAGGGAAAGTGAGCCAAAAGGCGAGCAGGAGAGGAGTGGGAAACAGCCGGCTGCTTTCTCCCGCCACTGGTTCCTGCTTGAACCTGCCACCTCCAAAAGCGGCTTGGATGTTTTTCAAAACGGCCAAATAAATCATCAGTGGCATTTCTTCTCCGGTTTGGCACACCATTACTGGCCTCGAAGCAATGCTCTGTGTCAACCAGCCCTCTTCGTCAGGCTCCCAGAGGTTTGCAAAGGGGGCAGCCATCCGTGAAAAGTCCGGACTGGCCCTTGTGGCGGGCCGGGCTGCGGGAAGGGCGGCGGGCAGGCCGGGGCCCGTGAGCAGGGTGGGTGGCCGGCCCGGCCCGGCCCGGCCCGGCCCTCTGTCCGAGCACCTGCCTCGCTCGCCCGCAGACGTCTCCGCCGTGACGCCCATCAATGACCTCCACGCCACCGACTCGGCCTCGCTGGCCAAGGGGGAGCGGCTCATGCGCTGCAAGGTGGCCAGCGTCTACCGACTGCTGGAGCTCTACGGCTGGGCACAGCTGAGCGGCAGCCACGTCACGGTGAGCGCCCCTCCCACACCCTCGCCTTGCCTGGCTGCTGGAGCGCCTGCGCGGAGCCCAGCCGGGCGTCGGGAGCGTTTCAGCCCGTTTGGGCCCCTTGGGCTCCCCTGAAGGCCGATCTGGCTGCACCCGCGGCGGCAGGGGAAGGCTCCTCGGCAGGGCGGTGGGGCTTCCCCGGGGCTCCTGGGCGGCGGTGGCCCTGTGCCCCACTGCGGGCATCTCCTCGGTGATTCTTGGAGGGTGGCGTGACGCCGGCCATCCCTCGAGAACCACCGGAAGAGTCACGTGGGACCTGACCGAAGCGCTGTCTCTTGGCATTCGCTCCTGCCGAGGTGCCAGCCGCCCTGGGCTCCGAGCGACCCTCGCGGGGCACGGCGGCCCAGCTCTGCTGCTCGGGGGTTGCCCCAGCTGCCCAGGACGGCGCCGCTGAGCTCACGGGCTGGAGCCATCACGGTGGGCGGGAGCGCAGCCCGCCATGGCTGCCGTGAGTCACCAGTCGCAGCGGGTCTTCAGCGGGCCGGGTCTGATGGGCGGTACAGATGGGTGAGGGGTGGGCGCATCCGTGCAGGGCAGGTGAGCGCGGAGACGTGGCTTCCCAGTGGTGGCACGGCGAGGGCTGCGTTGTGCCGGGGAGGGCTGGCTCGGCAGCCGGCACCTTCCTCCTGGCATGCCCTTTCCCGGCCTCCTCCCTGAGGAGGGGAGGCACGGCATGTCCATCTCCCTCTCGTGCAGCTCCGAGTCAGCAAGGAGCAGGATCACTTCCTGGTCTGCCCCTCGGGCCTCTCCTGCCACGAGGTGACGGCCTCCAGCCTGGTGAGTACCCAGGGCTCTTGGTGTGCAGGGAGACCCCTGTGCCTCATGTGGAGGCCTCTCTCCCGAGGAAATCCCAGGGCTCGCGGTACTGTCCGGTTGCTTGTGCTGCCGCGGAGGGGCGTTTGCACAGCGAACATGCCCCTGTCTGGTGCAGGGCTTGCATCTGGGTTACAAATGTTACTGAAGCCTTTCGCAGTGCTCACAAGCATTTTGTCTAGCAAGCTGCATCTCAGATTAGGCAGCACACCCCTTTTAGGGACTCGCACAGAGATGCAGCAGGCAGTGCATCTGGGGACGGGTTCTACTGCTACCTGATCCTTTCCTGAGTGGAAGCAGGCAAGCTTGGAGGAGTGACTGTGAGATGTGCAAAGTCTTTGCTGGGGACAGGCAATTTCACGGGGTCAGTGAGTCACAGCAGGGGCAGTTAGCAGCAGACAAGCCACGTGCAGCGACTCATACAGAGAAGCGGCAGGCGAGACTCCTGTGTGGGGCCTTCAGTGTCAGGAATGCGTCTTGGCCCGCTTGCGGAGGGATGGCCTGCCCCTGCAGCTCCAGGCACTGTGCATGGAGGGGGCACTGCCCCACGAGCCCCCCAGTGGCTCCACCCCCCCGCCGTGCTTCTGCAGCACCTCTCTTCCTTTGCCTGCAGATTAAGGTGAACATCCTGGGGGAGGTGGTGGAGCAGGGCAGCACCAGCTTCCCCATGGACGCGTGTGGATTCAGCCTGCACTCGGCCATCTACGCAGCTCGGCCCGACGTGCGGTGCATCGTCCATCTCCGCACCTCGGCCACGGCCGCGGTAAGCAACGCCACCTGCTTGGCCAGCAGAGCCGCGGGGACTGTGGGTCGAGCTCCCTCCCAGGCACCTCGGGGGGGGGGGGGGCTGAGGCTGCTTATTCACAGAGAAGCAGCCAGCCTGGGGCCAGGCGGGGGTTGGAGTTAGGGTGAGCTCTGCTGTTCTCGTTTTTATTTTCGTTTCTAGTTTCCAGACTAGGCAAAGCACCATCCTACAGAGGGTTTCCACCTGCCGAAAGACCAGGGTATCGCGGCAAAGACTGCTGTGAAGCTCCCCTGACTCCACTCTTGCGAGTGGCACTAAATTCCCCCCTCGGAAGAAGGACGAGTACCGCCCTTGTTGATATTGGCACATCGCTCCCAATATCGGCTGGTCTAACCGGACCCGCTTGGCATTTGCTCCCCTCGCGGATGTACTGTCCCAGCAGCTGCCACCTTTCCAGGATGACGAGTTCTGTGTAACTCGACCGGATGGTGCGGTTGCAGCCTTGCTTTTAGCCGCTTGATGCTCGGCCTCCTTGGCTGGAATCCTCCTGCGGAATATCGGAGCGAGGAATGGCGAGGAGGCTGGGCTGAGTCTCTCTGTCTCCCCGTCAGGTGTCTGCAATGCGGCTCGGCCTCTTGCCGATCTCCCACGACGCGCTGCTGGCCGGGGACATGGTGCACTTCGATTTCAACGGCGAGATGGAGGAGGAGGCGGACAGGATCGAGCTGCAGAAGTGCCTGGGACCCACCTGCAAGGTGAGGCCTGGGAGACGCTGCGCGAGCCGGGGGGCATCGCGGCCGGCCCTCCGCAGCCCTTTGCGCAGCAGCGGCTGGGGCCGCCTTGGCATCCGGCCCTCCGAAGGGGGCTGGAGCAGCCGAGGGGCGGCGTTCCCTCAACCGGGAGCAGGAGGAGGATGCAGGGCTGCGAGGTGCTTGGGTCAGCCCGCTGTGCAGTCGTGCCAGGCCCTTTTTCTGCCCTTCTCCCCCGCTGCTTCGCTTGGCAGGTTCTGGTGCTGAGGAACCACGGCCTGGTGGCCCTGGGAGACACCGTGGAGGAGGCATTCTACAAGGTCTTCCACCTCCAGGCAGCCTGTGAAGTCCAGGTGGGTCCCAGAGCAAGGTGGGGGCGGCAGCCTCCAGCCTTGGTCCTCGTCACGGTCCACTCATCATGAAGTCCCTCGAGATAATCGAGCCTAACGAAACAAATAAGCACACATTTATCTATCAGATTTATATCCTGCTCTTTTTTCCTTTGAAGGAACTCGAGGCAGCTTACACAATCCTCCTCCTCCTCTCAGTCTTATGCTCACAACAACAACCCTGTGAGGTGGGCTGGGAGTGGCCCAGAGTCACCTAGTTGGCTCCATGGCTGAGCAAGGACCAGACCCGGCTCCGGGTGAACTTAGGAATGGCCTGCCCTTGCTGCTGGGGGGGGGGGGGTAAGATGGAGTGCCCAGGAGGAGGGGGCAGCAAGCTGCTGTGCGTTCTTTAAAAAAGAAAAGGGCAGGATATGAACCTAACAGAATAAATTGTGACCATCAAGACCAGAGCAGCTGAGCATTTGCTAGAGAAGAGGACCAGAGTAGCGCCTGCCGCCCGTCCTGCATATTGGTCATCACTGGCCAAACGGTCTGTGGAGTCCCCGAAGCGGCACCCACAACCGGCCGGAGGGGCCTCTGCGCAGGGGGGCGGCGAGGGGCTCGCACCCTCCTCCACGCCGTCCCCCAGTGCGTGAGGACGGCAGAGGGCGGGCAGCCGGGCGGGCCCCGCGCTCCCCCGCCCCTCCTCCAGACCACGCTTTGCCCGCAGATCTCGGCCTTGTCTGGGGCCGGGGGGGCCGAGAACCTCATCGTGCTGGAGCGGGAGAAGCACCGGCCCCACGAGGCGGGCTCGGTGCGGTGGGCCGGCAGCACCTTTGGACCCATGCAGAAGAGCCGCCTGGGAGAGCACGAGTTCGAGGCCCTCATGCGGATGCTGGACAACCTGGTAGGTGGGCGCGGGCCGCCTCGCGGGGCCCCCGGCCGTGGAGGGGCGCGCCTTGATGGTGGAACGCCACGCGGAGGGGCGCCGGGGCGGGGGCTCAGCTTGGTCAGATTTGTTCCTGGTATTTCTGCCACGGCTAACAATGGATAGATGCAACTGTAGAACTTCAAGCTGCAATAGAACCCCTTTTCTCTCTCAAAAAAAGGTTGAGCCAGAATGTTGGCGAGCACCCTGAGCTGCCAGCGCCCCCATCGTCCAATGTGTCGTTGAGTCGCGAAGTCGCGTCCGACCCATCGCGACCCCACGGACAACACTCCCCCAGGCCTTCCCGCCCTCCACCTTCCCCCGGAGCCCACCCAACCCCACACCCACTTCCCCAGTGACTCCATCCAGCCACCTCCTCCTCTGCCGTCCCCTCCTTCTCTTGCGTCAATTGTTCCCAGCATCGGGCTCTTCTCCAGGGAGTCCTTCCTTCTCATTCGGTGGCCAGAGTACTTGAGTTTCATCTTCAGGATCTGGCCTTCTAGAGAGCAGTCAGGGTTGATCTCCTCTAGGACTGACCGGTTTGATCGCCTTGCGGTCCAAGGGACTCGCAGGAGTCTCCTCCAGCACCACCATTCAAAGGCCTCAGTCCTTCGGCGCTCAGCCTTCCTTATGGTCCAGCTTTCACAGCCAATTGACCAGTACTGGATGCATAAATCAGATTCACTAAGATTGCATTTGGCAGACTGTCGGGACTGGGAATGGGATTGATTTTAAAATTTGTATAGGGCACACAACGACTGAGGGCAAAAGAAGGGGAGGCAGAGACTGAAGTGGCTGAATGGGTCCCTGGGGAGGTGGGTGTGCGCTCGGGTGGACTCTGGGGGATGGTGGAGGGCAGGAGAGCCTGAAGGAATGTTGTCCATGGGGTTGCGGTGGGTCAGGCACGACTTTGCAACTGAACAACATAGGAGGGACACGGACACACACACATACATCGACGGCTGTGAGGACTGGACACTTGAGAAGGGATGAATGAGAGCCAGGATTTCCGGGACTTGAAATCGCTGCCCTGATCCTGCGGTGTGCCCGTGGGAGCCGCACGGCTGTGTACACGCTCAAGGGGAACCTTTCTCCCAACAGGGCTACCGGACGGGCTATGCGTACCGCTACCCGTTTGTGCAGGAGAAGGCCAAGCACAAGAGCGAAGTGGAGATTCCCGCGACCGTCACGGCATTTGTCTTTGAGGAGGAGGCGGGCCCCCCCCTGACGCTCCGCCAGCACGCCCAGAAGCAGCAGAAGGAGAAGACCCGCTGGCTGAACACGCCGAACACCTACCTGCGCGTCAACGTCGCCGAGGAGAGCCAGGGCGGCGCGGGCGGCCAGCGAACCAAAACCACGGTGAGGGCCGTGCCGCGCCTCTCCTCGCACACCCTCCCGACGCGCGCCGAGGCCTCGGGGCGTGCGGGCTCCGTGGCTGCACCAGGGGGGACGGTCCCCCTACCCGGCAGCGTGACCCGCGCGTGGCGCCTCCTTGCGAGCCTGCCCTTTGCATCATGGTGGATCCCGGCAGCCCCTGCAGTCAGCCTCAGAATCGCAGTTTAATTGCTGCTTTTGCAACCTTTAAAAGAGGCACGCTTATGGGGGCTTGAGTGGGGTCGGACCGCTTGGCGTTTCCCGCACACCTGGTTGCCGTACCGGGCTCTGAGTTGGCTGGGGCAGGAAGCAAGGTGCAGAGGTAAAGGGCGGAAACGGGAAATCCTCCCGCCGCCACGGCAGAGGAGTCCGCTTTAGCTGCTGTGCGTTCCTCCCGAGGGCACGGGCTGCGGAGGGGGCCCCCGCCTGGGAGCGGGGCCACGTGGCCCGAGCAGCACCGTGCATGGCTCGAGCGGGCAGTGTGCGGACTCTTCGCCCACGCCTGCACAAGTGCGGTTCCACAGCTGAGGCCCCCAACGCCCCCTTACTTATTTGTTTAGAACTTTTTAGACTATCCCTTGCCAAAGTCTCAGGACGGTTTAATAGCGAGACGAAAAATAAAAGAAAGCACAGCATTGTAATCAATTTCTGACAATAAAACCCATATTAAAATAACAGCCAGACCTTAAAATATTGGGATCCTTGGACTGGACCCTTGTTCAGGATTTTGTCCACCAAATGGACAAAGGATTCCCCACATTTCTCGCTGGCTTAACACCGAAGCCCCTTTGCCCCTGGCAGGCATGTCATGATCGGAGCTGGGTGGAGCCAGGGGTCAGACTAGATGGCCCAGGAGACCCCTTCTGACTTGCTCGGTTTCTCTGTTTCTTCTCATTTCCTGTTTTTCCTTCCTGTGGCACAGTGGATGAAAGCTGATGAGGTGGAGAAATCCAGCAGTGGAATGCCGATCCGAATTGAAAACCCCAACCAGTTTGTGCCTCTCTATACGGACCCCCAGGAAGTTCTGGAAATGAGGAACAAGGTACAGTGCCCCCCCCCCGTGCCCCCCAGCTTCTTTCAGCAGCCCTCCCTTGGGAAGCTTCCCCTCTCCATGGCTGCATAGCTGCAGGAGGGAGGGCTGGGGCAGAGGGGTGGACTGGGGGGCCCATGTCCCAGTCCTGCTCAGCTGTGAGAGCCACACCGTTGGCCCGGCCCACCTCCCAGGAGTGTTGTGTGCTGCGTGGAGCCCCTTGGAGGAAAGGCGAGGCAGAAAGACAACCAGAGCTGATGCTCGAAAGCCAATTCCTGGTGAGAGGGACCCTTTTGTGAAGCCGGGGAGGAGTCCCCCCCACCCCATGGGGGCCTGAGAGGGCACTAAGAACTATTTTAGTTTAACTCTTAAAATAACTAATTCTATTAATTTAAGGTTTGCCCGATTGCATATACTGTGCTTTATTTTGATTCTTTATTATAATATTTTAACCTCATTGTTTTATGAATGCTGTTGACATGTTTATTGTAACAGCCACCCAGACAACGTAATGCCAACGGATGGCTTTTATGCAGATTTGCTAAATGAACAAGCAAGTAGTTTTGGGAACAGGTAGCTCCCCTTGGAAGGTGCTGGCCCGGCCTCCAGAGCAGACCGCGTCCTCCCTCTTCCTTCCCTCTTTGCAGATTCGAGAGCAAAACCGCCAAGACGTGAAGTCGGCGGGACCCCAGTCCCAGCTGCTGGCCAGTGTGATAGCCGAGAAGAGCAGAAGCCCGGTACGTGTCACCCTGGGGCCTTGGGGGAGGCCCGGCCGGAGACCCCGGAGCTGCCTGGGGCCCCACACCAGCTGGCCCCCTCCCCACTCCCTCAGCTTCACAGGGCTGTCGGGAGCACCAGCGTGGGGAGACCCCACGGCTGCCGAATGGGCCGCGAGCGGGGCGGGCGCAAGCGCTTGTCCCGGAGGGGCTGAGCTCTGCAGGAGCGTGCTTCTGTCGTGACCCCCTGCCCCTCTGCAGTCGGCTGAGAGCCGCTTGGCGGACGGCGAGCCGAAGGACGGGTTCTGCACGGAGGGCTCCCCCGAGCCGGAGACGCCCAACCCCTTCAGCCAGCTGACAGACCAGGAGCTGGAGGAGTACAGGAAGGAGGTGGAGAGCAAGAAGCTGGGCCTTGACGGTACACGCCTGGCCTGCTTGCCACGCTGCCAGTGCTGCGGAGGCCCGGAAGGGGGCGGCTGCAGCACGAGGCTGGTGGACGGGGTGGGGGCCCCCTTTCTTTCCGGGAGCAGCCCTGGGGCGGGTCCGCAGACACCCCACGTGCCCGGCCCCCGCACCTGCTCCCACCCCACTTCACCTTGACCTGTGATGCCGCACCCCTCCCTCGCTCTTCCAGGGGAGAAGGACGCCGGCCTGGAGGAAGAAGCGATGTCTCCTGCCGAAACCGGGGCCACCCCCACGGAAGAGAGTCCCTCGAAGCCCGGGATAATGAGCCCGCCCTTGTCACCCTCCAAGTCTTCGGAAGGTAAGGGGCACAGGTGGGGCCTCCACGGATCCCAGGCTCAAGGCGCCGCCGCCTCCCCCAAATCCCTGCCGGTAACCCGCTGCCCAAGGAGGAAGGAGAGCTCCTGGAACTGGAGGAGAGGCCTTTGCGGAAGGGCTTGCCACGGGGGGCGGCCACCGTGGTCCACGCAGCCTCTGGTCCGTGGGCCCCGAAGGCTGCGCAGCGAGGCCAAGCACCGGAGGCCGCCTTCCCCCTCCGCCTGCCTGCAGGCTTTCTGCCGAGATGAGACATCCGTCCGGCTGGCTCCCCCGGGGGAGAGCACTGGGCCAGTCGGGCCAAGCCGGGCTCTTCCTGTGGACGCCGCCGAGCACACGGCCAGTGCCGGGGGGCGGCCAGACCGCCGTGGCTTCCCGTGGCCGTGTGGCCGGGAGAATGCGCAGGCAGACCCCAGGCATGGGGGCAGCTGTGGCGGTCCGGAGGCTGCCTTGGATCCCTCGGGGGGCGGCACCCTGCCCCACGGCAGCCCCCCCAACCGAGGAGCCCTGTGCCAGCCTTCTCAGCGACCGTGCCACCGCTGCACCCGCGGCCGGCGTCGTTTCCCACAGAATCACCGGGAGGCCAGGTGGGAGCCACGGCCTTGGCCTGGGCGAGCAGACACTTCCTGACGCATCGCCTTCGCATCCCGCTCTTCTCTCGCGTGAGGACCTGGTGGGCTGAGCCGGCCCCCTTTTTCCCACATGAGAATCTGCGTGCCAGGCGGGGCTGCGCTGGGCGGCTGCCCCACCATCCCCCAGTGGGGGCTCCCCCAGGCCCCCCCCACGCCCCCCACCCCACCACGCTGGCTCTCCGTGGCTGCCGCCCCAAAGGAGGGGAAGCGCAAGCGAGGCCGAGGGAGCTGCCGGTGGGAGGAGAGGAGCCGCTGGGCGGCACGCGGTTCCCCGTGACCGCCCAGCGACCGCGCCTGGAAAATTCCCGCTGGGGCGATTGCGGGGCGCGTGTCGCATCGGGGCCGGGTTCCCTGCCCCCAGACCCAGCAGGGTCGGGTGCAGCTGGCTCCGTGGGGGAGAAGGGGGTGCCCGAGGCCCAGTGTGGCTGCTGAGGTGGGGCGACGTGGCGTGTGTGTGTTTGCTGTCGTCTCGTTGCGCCTCATTGTGTCTGGCATGTCTGTCTCCACAACATCTCCTTTCTCTTTCCATGTGTTGCTTTCATCCAAGGAGTTACCTCCGATTCTGAATACTTGTCACTTTAGTAAGTATAGAGAGGCCATTTTCTCCCTCTTCAGCTACCCCGTGCGGGGGGAGGAACACTGTGGACTAGCGCCATTTCAGGGCCGAGTGAGTCTTCCAGGCAGCCTCCTGTCCTTGTTGCAGCTGCATGACGTGGGCACGAGAGGAACTCCATCCCGGAGCTCTTGTGCGCTGCACTTCCTGGTGGAGTGTCGGCTGCACACGCGGAACCACTGCAGAATCCCAGTTTTACACATCCCGGAGGGACTGGCGGGGGGCTCAGCAGGGAGCCCTGGAGAGCGGCTGCCAAGAGAGACAGTGGCTCCTGGCCTCGCGGGTGCTTTCGCCTCGGAGTCCTCTCGGTGTTGCCGAGGCTTCGGCAGAAGCCAAATTGCAGCAGAAGCCCCCAGGGTAGTGTGACAAGACGTGGCAACCGCCTCGCCCAAGGCCGGGGCTGCCCCGATGGAAGCCGCCTCCCTGGCGACGTAATTTTAACCTGTCCTGCCACCGACTCCGGTGCAGGACGGGGAGATCAGCAAGGAGCAGACGATCCGCTGCCCCAGGAATAGCCTCCCGCCGCTGCCCTGGGGCCAGCGGCTTCCCCCTGGCTGGCAAAGAGCCCCGGCTGCTGCCGTCCTTTCATGGGCCGTGCTCCTTCGGGTCTTTCCACGGGGCTCTTTCGCTGCGGAAAGGAACGACTGCTACTGCGAGTCCTAGGAACAGCATCACCGATAGGATAGGTGCCCGCGCTGGTGCATCACCAGGCTAAGCGGCAAAGCTAGGAGTCAGGGAAGCTCTGGCTGGGCTCTCATCTGCTGGAGGCTCTCGGGATGCTTCCCTGCCAGGGTTGCAGCACCGCTCTCACCTCGAGGGCACATTCCATCCTGGAGGAGGGTGGGGGGCAGTTGCAGCCGTGGGTGGGCCAGAAGGGACGGGGCAAATGCCCCCGATACCAGGCTGGTTTCAGCTAACACTCTTCCTGCCCAGGAAGTGCTTCAGCCTTTCAGAATGGAGAAAAAACCACCGGGCTGTTGGGAAACCACTGAACGGTGGGTGCGGGGAAAGGGTGGCCCTCGGGGGAACCTCGGAAGGCTGGACTGTGCCCCCCGGGGGCTGAGCGTGGCCTGCACGCCTGAGGTCCTGCACCCTGCTTTAGGTAAGCTGCCCACCTTGGCCCTGCCTCGCCTCTGCCATAACACTAGCCTGCCCTCCAGCTTTGAACCCCGAGGGCTCTGCTGCAAGGTAGGTGCGGCTCCTTCCACCGAATCCATCCTGGCTCTCCACCCTCTGGATGGCGTGCTTTGTGACCCACATGCTTTCTGTTACGTTTTCATCCCACTGTGCCTCCAGGGAGCTTGGGTGCAGGGAGCCACAGGCTCTCCCTGCACAGCAACTCCGTGAACAGTGCCACTGAATAACCCTGGCCTCAGCCAGGCTTGGCCCCTGGCCCCTCTGCGCATGCTCGGCACTCCGACGGCTCTAGCACATCAGCCCCAGCAAAGGCCAAGACTCGGTGCTGGCAAACCTTCATGCCTCCTGCCTTTTTCTCTCGGAAAGGTGTCTCCAAGACTGAGGGCGGCCAGGTGCCCCCCGAGCCTTCCGCCGCCGAGGACGAGAAGGCCGAGCGCGAAGCAGTGATCATGAACGGGAAAGACGACGATCAAACCATCGAGGATCTCCTCAGCAAAGGGATCAGCCAGATGAGCACCAACGTGGACCCCGAGCCCCCCAAGGACAAAACCGAGTCGGTCACCAGCGGGCCGGTGTCCCCTGAGGGCTCACCCTCCAAGTCACCTTCCAAGAAGAAGAAGAAATTCCGCGCTCCCTCCTTCCTGAAGAAGAGCAAGAAGAAGGAGAAAGCCGAGTCCTGAGGGCCGCCGGCCTGCCCCCCGCTGCGCCTTCCGCCCCTCCTTGCACGCCTTCGTTGCTCCCGCCCCGCAGCCACACCGACACGGGGGCCACGGACCAAGCGCGCCTCTTTGCAGCGGACAAGGCCGGATGGAAGGGTGGGGGGCCCTGGCGCAGCTCGCCTCCAGGAAGCCGCTTGTGTGACGTTCCAGGGAAAGGCTGGGGAGACCTTCCTGGGAATGTGCAAACGCCGCCTCTTCCACCGGGGCCCCCCATCAAGGGATGCAGAGAGCTGTGGCAGGGCACAGGATGTCCAGGGATGGGCAGCCAGCCGTCCCTCCGCGCCCACCTCTGCAGAGGAGTCTGTCTCGCCGCATGGACGCTCAAGCCCCTGAACCCGTGGCCAAATGTTTCCAGGGCCGCCTGAGGCTCCCAGGGGGCCACTGTCGGAAATAATTTTGTAATTTTGCAGAGCGTTGGTGCCTGACTCAGGCCAGCGGCCGACGGAAGGGGATGCAGGACTGCATTTTCTGTTCCGATTGCCGCCCTTCGTTGCTGACAGAAATGGCTCCAAACTTCCAAAGCTTTTGCAGCTGGGATTTCCTAGAGGAGAATCAAAGTTGGGCACCTGTGGATCGCCTTTCTGGGCAAAGGGTGGCACAGACGCCTCGGGGGGCGGGGGGGCTGTGACCAGCACCTGCCGCATCCACAGGCACTGAGCCGGGGCTCCGGCAGGGACCCCAAGCGTAGCAGATCACGCTGCGACTCGCAGGCAGCAGGAGCAAGAGGAGCGCGATCCACCAAGAGCCCTCCTCGGCCATCTCACTGCGATGGGCAAGGTCATCGCGGCGGGGCTTGCGCGAGAGGCGTTCCCAGAGGGCTGCCCCACACGTCCATTCGCGCTCACGGCACCGTTTGCGTCTTCTGACTCAAGCACCCACATCTCTGGGGCAGCCCACGCCCTGCGTCCTCTCCCCAATTCACTCTTCCCCTCTCTTCGGGAAGCACCTGTCAATTCTGAAACGTGACCAAGTTCATTGTCCCCTGGCCCCCTGTGCACACGCGTGTGCGTGCACACACACACACACACAGACACAGACATTTTTGCTCAGCAGTAGAGCAGTTCTTGTGCTGTCCGGCGCTTGATGCTTTGACCCCCAGGGAAACAGGGCTGGAGAGCCACTGTGATCGCATCTGCTTGGGGCCACATGGATCCAAGACCTGGCCCAGCGCTCGGGCAGAGCCACACTCTCCCGCGCTTGCCTTCCGAGAACCAGAGCCCGCCTGCCGGATTCCTGCCACCCGCTGCCCTTAGAGGCAGAATCCCCCCTGTCCGCGCCCAGCCCTCGCTGCAAGAGAAGCGCATGGCTCCGCATGCACCAAAGGCGGATGGCAGCCGGGGAAAGGCCAAAGCGTCCGCTCTGCCCTGCATTTCAGATTTAACTCCGCGTCGGTCACGTAAGTGCTGCTCCACTAGTCTAGAATGGTAGAACCCGCACACTGCCAGCAAGATTAATGAATAATCCTCACACTCGGAAGCAAAGCTGGCAGAAGTAATCGTTCACTTTCTGCACTGTTCAGGATTATTGTCACACCTGAGGTGTTTCCACAAGTGATGATAACATTTGCTGTAACTGCATTGCTTGAAAGAGCTCCGATGGGAACGCGCATCCCCCAGAGGAATGCCTTCTCCGTGGCATGGATATCAAGAGGCCGTGCAATGAAAAGCTGGAGGGGTTTTAGCCTGCATGTCACAGGAGCTTGGCTGGGACATTGGACTTGCTTTCCTTTGCACGATGGCTTGGTGGCCTCTGGGGAAAAGAGGTTGTCGGGGGAGGACGCCCTCCGAGGTCCTCCGTGGACCCCAACCCAAGCTCCAGATGCAGGCTAGCGCTGCCAGGCGGTCCCGATCATGTTTACTGTACTTGGGAACCTGCAAGGGAAGGGAGAGGCGGGCGAGGGCAACTCAGGGCTGCCTGAAGGCCAGGGAGGGCTGCAACGCTCCCATCACTTCCCTAACCCCGATGATCGCATCTGTACTTGTGTGTAGCTTTAGGCTTGACCAGCGCTGTGGCCAGACTAAAGGACACCATTGCACAAGGGGTTTTCCTTGTAAATAGCAGCTGTGGAGGCCCCAATCCACATCAGGCCCTGAGCGGGAGGGGGCTTTAGCCACCGGCTCCCTTCTGTGGTCCCAGCCAAGGACCTGTTTGCTTGCTCCCGTGTGGATGAAATTCCCTGCAGGACGGAGAGCCTTTTTGTTATATCGGCAAGAATCAGCCAGAGTTCTCCAAAAAGAAGGCGCCGCCTAGCGGGACGTAGCTCCAACCCTACACCATTTACTTGGGAGTAAGCCCCCACTGGACACTTGCCTCTGAGCAGAAGTGTGTAGGATTGCGATCCTCAGACCAGCCGCTGCCCCGGCCTGGCCGAGGTCGGCTCTCCATCTCCCTGATTGCCATCGCTTTCTCTCACTGGCCAGGGGGCCTCAGTATAACCTTTTGGACCCCCCAGATCCTGAAGCCACCTGCTTGGTTGTGCCAGGTGGCGGAGCTCCAAGGAGCCGCGGAGCCGGAAGCAGGGTAGAGCGCCCTCTTTTGCAGAGTGCCGATGAAACACAACTAGGCACTGCTCCGATCGCTCTAATTTTGGATTGGGAAATGGAGTGCTCCATTCCTTCTGCATTCTGACCATTCACAGCACACATTAAAGTTGGGGGGGGGGGGGCATGCTGCACACGCGGGGCCCACTCGGATGCCAATCTCCCTTTCAGAAACACGGGAAATACTTTCTTAGTAGCGAGCAGAATTCCTCCAAAGGAAGCAGGAGCCCCTTTCCTGCAAAAGCTGGGCCAGCCGCCACCATGTGATTCCCTGTGCCTGCCCCCAGCAGCCGCCTTGGTGCTGCGCTAGTTTCCCACGAGCCCCCTGGTTTCCTGCAGTAAAGAGGTGGCACACGGCTTGCCCCCCAGGCCTCTCCCTCCAAGGCACAGTCCGCGCCTGCACGTGCTTGGGTCTTTTGGGCCTCGAAATCGGCATCGCCCGACGCGAAGTGCTGGAGGTTCGGCTCAAAGGCACACCGTTGCCCCTCATGCACGGGGCAGGCACGCCCATCCCGGAGCTGCTCCAGACGCCCTGAAATGCCCGAGGACTGCGTGCCCGCGGAGGTGCAGCTCCGGTCTCCGTGTCTCTGCACAGCGGTGGACACCCTCCCAGGGTGGACACGCTGGGAGGGTGTCCTCTTCTCCCACCTGCACGTCCGTGCAGATGCACGCGGGCGGGAGGGCTGCCCGTGCAATCACTGGTGCTTTGCTTAGAACAACTTCCTTTTGTAACCAGGACCAAATTCCTCCTCTTTCTCTGTGGGAGACAGAGGAGGAGAGAGAATTGATATTTTCAGACATGCTATTTATTTTTTTAAAAGCAGAGTAAGGGGCTGGAGAAGTCCAGCATCTCTGTGTCATGGTGCTTCCACAGAGCAGCTAATTCTGCTAAACAATATTTATTCTGCACATGTGGTTTCCGCCTCCCAAAGATGATCCCCTGGGGGACTTTGGGGGCTTTGTGTCACTGGCCCGTCTGAACACCTCATGCTCTAGACCACATTCCTCCAGAGTCCCTGCAATCCCAGCCAACCCGCTGGCTCCACAGACGGCGCGATTTATTTGATCAGTGAAGGGGGCTCCAAAGGCAGGACCCCTGTGCTGCAGAACGGGGTGGCGGCGGATGGTACCTGGCCAGCAGCTCCCCCACAGTCACCGCTCGGTATTTCTGCCACGACCGCAAACATGCTGTTAAAAAGACTGCCTGCCTGCCTGACTTTGCGATGCACCCTGAACGTTCCCAGGAACGGACTTGGCAGCCTTGCCGAGAACCTGCTCTCGGCCTCAACTGGAATAGCCTTGCTAAGCAGAGGCAGCTGAGGCGACGCGTACGAGACGTGGTGGGTGGGCCCTCCCCGTGGCACGCGGCACGCGGCACGCGGCACGCAGGGCAGCGCTTGGCGCTTGCTGCGGGCCGGAGATGGAGCGTGTGCTCTGCCTGCAGAATGGCCCAGCCACCAGGCACAGCGTCTGCAGGGCAGAACCTGCAGAGCCCATAGCCCACGGGTGCAGGTACTATGGAGCAAGAGGGGTGGCAGACGGGCCTGGAGTCCGAGTCCAGCCAAGGCTGCTGCTTGGGTCCCTCTGAAGTGAAAGGGGAGCTGGGTCGCCTCTTGACCATTAATCAGCGTGACTGCATGGCATTCCTATCCCACCGTTTTCCCTCTCGTGAGGAACCCACAGCCGCGGCCATAGCACCCCGACCAGATCTGCCCCTCCAGCATTGGCTTCCGGGCTTGTCTTTACAACTCTGACCTTGAGAGAGGTTTACTTTATACCTTCACCCTCATGCATCTCTGATCGAATCCTTATTCTTTGCAGAAGCAGATGCCCATCAAAACTGGAGGTCGGCTGAGGCTCTGGCTGAAGGGGGAAGTGGAAGTTTAGGTGCTGCCCGGGAGGGTCAGCCCCTCTGGGAACTTCGGGGAGCAGCTCAGTCAGGCCCAGCATGGCTGGAGCAGAAGGGCCCCCTGAAGCTGGACTCTCCCCATTTCCCGAGCCTTTGGGGAAGGTGAACGGGCTGCTCTCGGACGTGCACCGGTAGTGATGTGGGAGTGCACTGGCCCAGAGCGCGTCTGGGCCCACCGCCCCTGTGCACGCAGCCCTGCTTTCCGTGCACTGGAAAGCAGCGGTCTTGGCCCACTGCAGCCAGTACGGGCCGTCCGAGTCCCGCGGTCTCTGAAAGAGGATGTCACACAGCCACACACACTTGCTCGTGCCAAGTCTTTTTTTGCTGCTGCTCAGCAAAAGGTTCTCAAAACTGCTCACCTTTGACCGACGAAGCAAGGAGGTCGCCACACGCAATCTGCTCGCGCCAGGCACTCACGCAGCACTAGAGGAAGGGGCAAGGCGCTACACAGGGGATGCCCATGGCCCGCCCCTGCAGGTGCTGAGGGAAAGGCACTCTGTGCTTGCTCAGAGTTTCTCTTGCTCTATGC